TTTTTTTTTTTTGTATTGTGATATACATAAGAGTTTAATGGATTATTGGGGGGGGGGTTGGTTCTATGCATCAGTTGTTGATTGGATTTTGAGATGTGAGCATTGCACTCAAAAATGGAGGCAGATGAACAAGAGCTTGCAAGGCCAGCGATTAAACAGACTAAATGACTGGAGAAGTCCTGTACTGTATACGTCACGAGAGAAATCTGTAGCAAGATTTTGATTAGGCATTGCACGGTCAAAAAAAAGAAAAGAAAACATATGCAAGGATGATTCGCTCATAATAAAATCAACAACATGCATTGAAAAAGGGTAAACTTTAAAGGAACAGTTCACCCAAAAAGCTGCTTTCCCATATCAAAATAACTGTTTATTAGTCCTCTGATTGCTAACACAGGCTGTCTGCTTGGGAAAATGGCAAATGTCAGAGTGAATGTCACAGGAGGAGAAAGAGGACATTTCCATGTGTTAGATCTGGAAAACACTTTTGAATACACGAGAGACACTCCCAGTTCCAAAAGAACTGGAATAGCTTGCTTTTTAAGTGAAATTTTAAGATTGATTATAAGGTAACCGGACAACTTTAAATCAATTCTCTTCAAGTTCACTTATTGCAGTATTGTATGTTCATAAAACATCTGCTAATGCATTCATGGATATCCAACAGCGTTCAGTTACATGACTTCTGCAGATTTAAATCCATGGGTTGCATAATTATTTTCAATGAGCATAGACTTAATGCTCAACAGCCTTCCACGGGGTTAGAGCACTCATTACATTTACAGACAATATCTGCAGTTATAATCTAGACAGGTTAGACAATGTAGACCAGGCATACTTTCGATTTCTACATAACATATAAACACAATACCACATTCATTTACTCCAATATGACTAGCAGTAATGCACTGGTTCAAATAAATGTGCCGAGCCTAAAATCAAAAGCACGCCCCATCATACGAAAGATCAAATGAAGTATGATTGTGATGTCAATTAATGAACTTAAACTGAACCACAGAGAAGCAAAATGAGGTGTTCGTTTAGACTGTTAGCCAATTGCTAAACAGATGCACGGGTAGCTAACAACACCTCACGACTGAAGTCAAACAAAAAACTATTTCTACTTAAGATTATTAAAAAATAATAATAACTGTAAACACTGCGAATAAATGTTTTGGGGCAAAAGTCGTCTGGTTGCTGGCTGGCTAACACTGTTTATCATTAAAGCTAACTTGGCTGGTAACGCAACGTTTTATAGGAACCCGGAAAGGAATCTTCACGGGCCATTTATTAAATAAAAAAATTCGTATGATTCAGATATAGACCTATTCGTGTACTGATACAAACGTATCGTTTTATTGCATTAGACTTACCTGTGTAGATTGTTAAAGGGCAAAAAGCTTTTAACAAACTAAACCCGCTCTCTGCTATCCGCTGTAGCACCTACCGTGTTGCCAGATCACTCATGAGAATCGAGCAAGCTAGTTTTGTTTACGGGTGCGGTGAAAGGGTAGCGGGATAATTGTGTATGAACTATGGAAAATTTAATAATTTTCATAAATATCACCAACTATCTTTCCTCCCCAATTTCACTGTATTCTGTAAACAACCCTAAAAATCGCAACGCACGAGATTAGTTTTTTTTTGTATAAACCGCTTATAAAAAGATGACATGGCAACGCTGTTTATCTACGTTGTATTCTGAGATGCTGCACAGCCGCCGACTGTCGGAAACCATCAGCATTACAAATGACAAAAATGCTTGATCCTACTGCCCTGGGAATATCGAAAATTATTTATATAAGTTAATATTATTCATGCTATATTTCTTGATGAATGTAAAGAACGTTTGAGTTTTTATCTGTAATTATTTTAATAATTATTATTAATTTTATGTCTATTCTGTCTGTAAATTGAACAGATGAGAATAAACCAGCATTTGACATCTTGAAACTCAACGTAAGGACTTTTATTTTGAAGTAACGGCTGCTGTTGACGCTCCTGTTTCCCATAATTCACAGGGACAAACAAAAAGCCTGGTTGCCTCTTAATATCATTAAGTCATAAATAACTCTGCAATAATTATCTTGAGACATTTTTGAGACATAGTTGTTATACTCCTGCGCATTTCAAATTCACTGTTTCACATACTCGGCGTAAATGTATTGAGCTGTTGTAAGGTAAGGGATGGTAAAGCGCATCTGCACCTGCTAGCAGAATGATTTGAACCACTGAAATAACGCAGATGAAATCCAGTCCACATTTAATGATACATTATATCCAAACTTTGCAAATGTGATCAAT